GTTGATTGTTGTGGAAACCTGTAACCTTTCAAAATTCAAAAAAATAATGTTTCTCTGAAGCAGTTTGTGATGTCTTAACTCTCTTCTTGCTCAACACATAATTAATATGTATGTGCAGATGTAGTAAACCTGTAAACAAACACATTTTTATTAAGTTCACGTAACAGTTATCAACAAAGATACTGGAATGGAATCACACCTATCACTGGTTCAATTATGTTCTAATGGTATAACTTGAACAACCTTTTTAACTGCTGTAGCCTCATTTTAATAACCTTTAAGTTTGAGATATTAAATTCTACTCCTTTTTGTTTTTGAGGATAAAATGTTAGTGCTTTGAACACAGAAAGCACATGATAAAAGGAACTGATATCATCATTAATTACTAGTAGTAAGTGGCAGTATTTGAACATTTAGTTCCCATATTTTCCAGATTTTTCACAATGATCACCACCTTATTCATTCTACCATAGTATATGAAGAGAATATGAGTTGATAGGCCATAAGTAACTAAGCCCATCAGTCCTATTTTGTGGTAGAACCTTTACTATAAAAATGTGTACATCAAATAATAATATTTGATTTAGCTCAAAGAGAGGTAGCAATAGAACTTGTTGAGGTCTTGAGAAAATGATAAATACAACTGACCTTTGAGCAACACAGCTTTGAGCTTCACAGTTCCACTTATACATAGATATTTTTTTCAATAATTACACTGGAAAAATTTTTGGAGATTTGTGGCATTTTGAAAAAAACATTTTCTTTTCTCTAGCTTACATTATTGTAAGAATACAGAATACAATACATATGACATACCAAATATGTGTACACTGACTCTTTATGTTAATGGTCAGTCTTCCAGTTAACAGTAATTTATTAGTAGTTAAGTTTTGGGGTAGTTAAAAGTTATCAGGTGAATTTTCAACTCTGTTGGGAGGTGGGTTTGAGCTCCTAACCCCAACATTGTTCAAGGGTCAACTGTATATATAGATCCAAATGTTGCAAGTTCTTCTTAATAAATTCTGGGTGTTTATGCCAGAAGAAACAACCAGATTATTTATTATAATCCTTTCAAAGTAATTTGTGAAACAATAATAAATTAACATGGGGATATGTGTATTGCATCAGGGAAAATAAAACCAGGTTTCAATAGCAAAGATCTAAGCCATGGGTAAAAAGAATGATCAAACAGAATGTGATTACCCATAATTGGTAGTTTACATTGAATACCTCATAATTAGGGCATCTATAACTTAAAAAGAACTAATGAAAAAGATGTTGGCTGGCTAAATTTTTGTAGACACAAAATTTTATTTTTAAAACTCAGGTAGAATTTAGGTAAATATTAGATAGAATTTTTTGATCAATATTCCTAAATCTGTTTTAAGCTTAAGCTTTGTTTTATCATGTCTGCTCCAAACAAAAAACAATGAAACATTAAATAAAAAAGTAACTATGTTGAATAGACAGTAGTAGTTTAATAAAAAATTCAATTAAAAAATTCACCCTTTGGGGATTTTATAGAAGAGATAATATTGTTCTCAATTTTGACTTTCTTTTAAACAATTGATGTTTAAAGTTGTTTCAAGTATTACATTACTTTCAGGAATATAAGAATGTTATTCAGAAATAAGATGGAAATAAGTAGGACAGTGAAAAAATGGTAATGTAGAATGTGATTGAATGAAAAAATTGATAAAATGTATTTTCATCGAATTAATTATAAAGTTATGAGAAAAATTCTAGTTTCCACTTTGATATGTAAAGAGCTTGAAAATCATCACTTGCAACCTTACAACCTGAAAATCAATTACTTTTCCTGGACCTAGCAGAGAACTGAGGTTGCAAGGCAAACTGCCAGCCCAAAATCTGAAGGTAGGCAAAACCAGAACCACAGGTGGCATCTGCATACCTGGAGCAGAAACTAGTCATAAATTAGTGAAAACACTTAACTGGTAATTTTTATGAATTACTTGAAGCTAAGTGTAGACTATCCTGAGAGTGAAAAACTCCTGAGGATCTGCATTTCTAGGTAAGATCCCACAATTTTGTTTACTTTACCTACATGAAGTCCACCAGGTTCTCATGGTGAAGATCTGGGAGAATCCCCTCATAGCTCTGATGGGGGAGGGGAAGAGTTATCATCGTAAAATACACCAGAATTCTTGTGCATAATAGAGGCCTACTCTCCAGAAGAAAAGACTTTACCAAAGTTATCTCTGTTAGAGAAAGAACACTTCTTCCACTCCAGCCCCCAAGAGTTGTCTTGTCTCACCTAAGAGGTGAGTGCAGAGAGCTATACCACTTGAGAAATACTTGTAAGGATCAGAGCCCTGAGATGCAGACCCTCTAAAAGACAAAATTTTAAACCTAAGATTATGGAATGCTCTAACTCCTCCATACCTTACCACCACAACCAACAGTATTGAAAATATTCCAATAAAAATTATTGGATAACAGTTGAAAAGAGTCACAAGACAGATTCCCTGAGGAGGAGGACTTAGGGAACCCAATGTCAAGAGAGGAGACAAAAACAAGGACATTGTGGAACTGAAGTCTCTGGCACCTATAGATACAGCAAATATTAAGCACAGCCCAAATGCTATCCACATTAACATAAAACCTTAAACTAAAGGCCTATTTATTTCAATTCCTATTACTCAATTACAACATGCCAGTATGGAGAAATTTGAAGTTCCTATGGCCAGGATCCTCACATGAACTTAAATTACTTGATGATTTAACTGGCCTGCTGCTAGGCTACTGCTTCCACACCCTAGGCATTAAGCTATTATTGACTGAGTCACTACATAAAGAGCTCTGCCCAGTGCTCTGGGCAGAGGCAGAGATGGCGGTGAATTTCAGACTGTAGACTATTGGATGCAGACGTGATTCTAGTACTTACCCTGTTACTGGGAGAATAAAGCTGGGTAATAAACCCTTTTACCTCAAGAACATTCCATTGTCATTCCTCAGTCTCACTGAATCCTTAGTGAACTTACCTGGGGCTGAAACCCATTGGCAAGTTACCCAGCTTTTAACAAAAAGTAACAAAGTATGCCAAAAGGCAAGCAAAATTACAGTCTTCAGAGACAAAGAAACCATCAGAACCAGATTAAGATATTATACAGATGTTGGAATTCTCAATCAAGGAATTTTAAATGGCTGATTAATATGTTAAGGATTCTAATGGAAAAAAAAGTAGGCAATATGCAAATGTTCAAAAAACTGAATGACCCATATTTTCTGGATGTCAACACTATTAGATACCTACTGATTTGTATGTTTTCCATTTGCACTGGCCAAAATTCTTCTCCCCGCCAAAACCAAAACCAAATAGGTCAGAAAGAAACCTAATAGACAACAAAATGAAGTAAATTAAAAGGAGAAAAAAAAAATTAAGGCACATTTAAATTAATATAGGAGTGAAACAATTAAGTGCTATCTCCTTGATTTATGTGGGCCACAATTTTGGCTCTGTGATTTACAGAAAACAACACAAAGAAGGAAACAGCAGTAGCATCTTTTGCTTTCCTTCCATTTATCTGATTATTCCTTTCTGATACAGCATGTTTAATTTGCATTTCCTATTAACTCTTACCTGTCCTGGAAAAAAAAAGTGCAACCATATAATTTTACCAATTTATTCAACCTGAAGGGAAATATATGTGTATGTCTTCATAGTGTTGACCAACTGAAACTTTCTCTGACAATAATCCTTTGCAATATATTTGGATTTAAAAATCTTTCTGCCTCATATATTTATTCATATTAAAAACTAGTGATACAAAATAACCTGGAATAAAGAAAATATTGAGGTTATTTAATCTGCTGACCTTATCATCCACTTCCACAGCTAACAATCAAATGTAAATGGATTTTCTTGAATGAAGACTTTGCTTACTGAATAATTCCACATAAATTTAAGTTGCTTTTTAGAGAGTTTGCAGATACTTCTTTCTTACTCCCAAGGCACAGATGTTTTTCCTTAATAGAAGATGTTTGAGGTCATCAAATACCAGCTGATTCATCCAAAATCTCTCCAGAAAGCACTTCTTACTAGTTATGCAGACTCTCTTATTTTCCCATTGTCCCTTATAAATTTTTGGCATTGTTGATTCAAAATATGACTTCTAGAAATAGTAATATTTGTTACTATATTTTTTTAAAGGTATATAAAATTATTTATTGACCACTGTTTACCAGTTATTTACAATAAAGTAAACAATATACAGTTGGGTAACAGTCTGATCACGACAAAGTTACTGTTTTTCCTGGCTTCTGCTGAACCAGTAACCTGAATACTGAGACTGACCTACATATAAGGAATGAATTGGGGTAAAGAAAAACATGCAGGTCAAGAGTTTATATTACAAAAGCTTGTTTACTCATTTATTCTGGTAGGTCCTAAGTTGCCAACATCTCTTAACTGATTAGGTTTCCACGAATGGAGTCTCAGACATTCCATGAGTCATGATCAATATAGTGTAGGGATTTCAACTTCTTGTCTAGTTTTTTTCATTTGGATGGGGAGGTTGTTGGTAGCAATTAACATTTTCCTATATGGGACTCTAAATAAATTTGGGATTTGCATGTCTGTAAATATGGATTCTCATATAGTTACTTTTAAATGTCCACTTAATTATAACATTATCTATTTAATCTGAAAGGCTATGGCTTCAGGAAATCTTTCAACTTAACCTGAAGTGATTTATTTTTAGGTTACTCAAAATCATAGCATCCCATAAATATGGGCTTATCCATGGTTGTGAAATGCTTTTTGTTTTGGTGAATGTTTTTTAAAAAGAAAATTAAAAAACCATTTATGTGTGTATTTTGTGTACACACACAAAAAAAAACCAATAGAAAAAAACTCAGAAAGGTCCTTAGGCATGAATGAAACACAAGTTCTCATTACCTACAGCATTTAGAAAAACTGTTATCTAATGCAGAGAAAATAATATACCATGATATCAAAATGTTCTTTTCTGATAAAGGAAGCCACTACAGAAATCTTTTATTTGTTCAAAGTAAGTAGTGCTATACAAAAAAAATCCAACATATCTTCCCTGCCCCACAAAACTCAACAACTCCCCCAATACCACTTTAAAACGAACATATCAATGTTGATTTTCAAGAGTATGTAGTTATTTCTCCACACTAGTAAGTCAAAAAAACAAGACCTGGGTTTTATATATATGTATAAATATATATAAAAAGCAATGCAAACACAATTACTGAGCTTCATCTTCTGGACACGAATGCCAAGTTAGTCTCTCTTCATAAAAAGCAATTACAATTTGAGGACACTTTATATTTGCCTCCTTCGCGAGCACCAAGTCTGCCTCATCTGAATCTTTCCATTTCTTAAGAAACATTAATTCTCCACTGCTGTCTGTGGCACCAATTATTCGTTCAGGATCAAGACCTCTGGCAAAGCCTCTTGGTTTATCAGCAGCATCTCTTTTCTTCTTTGATTTGCTATCATCAGATTCACTGTCAGATAAAGATTTTCTTTTTGTACCATCTTTTTCTTTACCAGCTTTTTGAGAATTAAGAAATGCTTCAATTAACTCTGGACAATCTAAATTTTCTTCAGGTTCCCTAGTATTGTCAGCATCTGTAAATCCCTTCCACTTCAGGAAATACTCCACCTTGCCATTCACTACATGTCGGTCTAGTACTTTTTCCACCACAAATTCTTCAGGCTCTGCCTCTTCAACTTTTTTACTCTTCCCATTCTGTTTTTTCCCCATTTTTTGCAATGTAGTTTCATTGGAGGCCATTTTTTATTGCAGACTTGAAGAGCTATTATTCACTGCCTCCGAGCTGCTCCGGATCCCTGCTCTGCGGCGTCTCCTGCCCGGAGCGCCTCAACCTCGAGCCACATCTGAGGGGGAGGAGGCTGGGGCTGTTACTATGTTTTATAATAATAAATGTCTTGCTTGGGCTTCTGGCTATACAGGCTATTAAATCCTTTAAGCCAATTTGGCAAAAGTTAATGATAATTATAAATTACATTTTTCTTTGTATCTTGAAGGAATCTACTATTTCTCCTCAAAGTTTTCTTCTCTTCACCCCCTTTCTTATTCTCCCTTTCATGTATGTATAACATTAAAATCCTTTTACCTGGCACTGCAGGGTGAATTCTGTGTGAAGAGTACTTACTCAAGTACCAATTTCACTTTGGAAATATCATAAGAGTATATCTTTTGTAGTTGTGCAACTAATTCCCAACATTGACAGTATGTCACCAAGTAAGTCACTCTCTCTTTGTACTAAGAAAGTGACTCATACTATCTCTAGCTAAACACCTGGAGGGATGCCTACCAGCAAGCAATGGGAGAAGAGATAGCTACGCGTGGTAATTCCTAAGTGTGATTTTTCTCCCTTAATTATGTTCTTTCCTACCAAATTTCTCAGTAACAATGATAGGGGAAAAAACACCCTGAAATGCGTGAAGGGCGGTTTCTTTAAAAATACATTCCACTAATGCCACTGAAAGGAGGGAAGTCTTTACTGTCACATGTATGCATCCTTCAAAATTGTCTACAAAGTAATTAAAGCTATTACTACAGTCATAATTCTAGTTTAAATTTTGCTATCACCAGTCCAATGTGTAAATATATGTTTATTTTAAAATGTTAAAAGATAGGCTTTTAAAGTGCTGGGGAGAGATAAATATTTCACACTTTAAAGCATAAGTCTTGAATAAGCAATTTCTTGGCATTGATTTTCAGTAAATACAAATGTTAAGAGTCCATTAATTGAAATAGAATAAGCACAAGCAAAATGGGGTAAAGCAATTAACTAAGAGTAATGTGAATCAAATAGACTTAAGAACCATATCTTCACCTTGAGTTTAGCCATTGCTACTTTTAACCCAATTATTAACAAAGCATGATTTCAATACAATTCATCTGTTGCAATTTTATGGACCACAGAGTTTGAAATCTTTTTTATTCCTGAGCTAGTGGGGAAAAACACTGCACAGCTCTATCATTTCAACCAAATCACATTCTCTCTTATTATCATTTTCTTGCATTGTTATGCTATTTTTCCATTTATATACTTAATTCAGAAGGCTTTCATCACCAACACAGAATTTATTCATGAATCAAAATAGTTACAGCAAAAATAAAAAGTTCTTTAATATTCCTCTACTTCTTGAACTCAGAGCAATTAACAGTGGGGAAGTTGAACGTTTTGATGTGGCTTTTAAACAGATTGTCGAACCAAGCTCTGAGCATAAATATTGTGTGGTATGCTTGTGTTTTCCTCTGCTGAACTATGACAACAACAGTCATATTATTGGATGACACATAATTTATGTTAAACCTAAAACCCATTTGGTGTTGTAAATAACATCTTTCAAATTGGTCCTCCATGATTAAAATTTCTACAACCAAAGGAAATCACGATAGCAAAATAAATTCTACTAAAATATTTTAAAACTTATTTCAGAATAGTAAATGATATCTATTTCCCCTGGTCCTCAGGAATTACATAACATACCATATATTACTGTAATGCTAACATTTCCCAGCTTAAATTTTTTCACTCTAAATATAGTAGAGTACATTGTAAAAAATATTTTAATGCTAAACTGCTTTCAGACAGATAAAATCTATATAGGTTTATATAAAAATAGAATCCTATAAACAACAGTAATGAACACGGCATTTCTCGCAATTACCTGTATTCTAGTGCAACATGGCAAGTGCTAACATTGAGTGCTTCTTCTGCCTTCTCTATGCATTTAATAATGCAAATTAATTTCTATGAATCCAGCTTTACATAACTGAGAAGTTTGAGAATTTACTGTAAAAAGAAAAAACCTACAGTAATTGGTAAAAGTCCAACATGTTGCAAAGTAATAATGATATGGGGAAATTTTTTATAGCCGAAATTAATATTCTGGTGAACAAATGTTAAAACATCTAAGATGTTCTGTCTCACTCACAGATATGGAAAATTATTTCTGGATATCAATGAGACACTTTTTTCATGTGTCAGTTTGGCAAAATTTAAAATATATTGATAGTATTCGGTGTATGCAACACTGCAGGGAAAGTGCAAGCTCATATACACCTAGTGAGATGGCAAGCTAGTTTGTCCTTTGTGTCAGGCAATTTTGCAGTTATTTACCAATTTACCAATATATTTTTAAAAGTATATATAGTAAGGGAAGGTTAAAAGGAGAAGGAAATTTGATACATGCAATAAGCATACATGAAAATTTTTGTTATCAAAACTATATAAATACTATGTAAACAAATAAGAACTTAAGAATTTAAGTAGATAAATTGACAATATTTATGAACAGGTAATCCACAGAAGAAAAAAACAACATAAATAGCAAATCTCAACCTTATTAATAAACCAGTAAGTGTACATAAAAAACAAAAATAGGTACCATTGTGTACATATCAGAATTGAAAAATTAAAATTAAAAATATGAGAGAGTAAACATAATAGTGTTCACTTATTCTCTTAATAATTCAAATATATAATGAAAACATAGCCCACCCTTTCATTCAACAATTCCATTGTTTCTATGACAGATACACTAGTCATAGAGCATTACAACGTATGTTCAAGAATACTCATTGCAGCATCATCTGTTTCAGCCAAAAACTGGACATTACCTTAACAGCTATCAACAGGGAAACTCAATTGTGGTTCATTAATGCATTAGAATACTATGCAGCCCTGATAAGTAATAAGCTAGATCTACTGTTTTTAATGTAGAAAACTCTGCAAGACATATTTTAAGTGAAAAAACAAAGCACATACATCTGTTTATATCATTTCCCATTTGTGTAATATTTTTGAAATCATTTATTCTCATATGCATAAATGCTGGTACATGGATTTGGTGTAGGAAGAAAACAGAAAAAGCTATTAACAAAAGTTCTCTGTAGTAAGAGGTCATTTTGAGCAGTGAAGAGAGATGCTAAGGGAAACACTGACTTTTCCTTTAATGCCTTACAGTGGTGTTTAAATATTTCACAATGTACATGCATCACTTTAATTTTTAATATAGCTGGTATTATACATATAAATATATGTACTTTTTATTTTGTATCATTAATCTACAATTACATGAGGAACATTATGTTTACTAGACTCCCCCCATCACCAAGTCCCCCCCACAAATCGCATTACAGTCACAGTCCATCAGAGTAGTAAGATGCTGTAGAATCACTACTTGTCTTCTCTGTGTTGAACAGCTCTCGCCATGCCCCCCCCACATTATACATGCTAATTGTAATGCCCCCTTTCTTTCTGCACTCACCCTTATCCCTCCCTTCCCACACATCCTCCCCATTCCCTTTCCCCTTGGTAACTGTTAGTTCATTTTTGGGTTTGGTGTACCTGCTGCTGTTTTGTTCCTTCATTTTTTTCTTTGTTCTTATACTCCACATATGAGTGAAATCATTTGGTACTTGTCTTCCCCTGCCTGGCTTATTTCACTAAGCATAATACCCTCTAGCTCCACCCATGTTGTTGCAAATGATAGGATTTGTTTTCTTCTTATGGTTGAATAATATTCCATTCTGTATATGTACCCATCTTCTTTATCCACTCATCTACTGATGGACACTTAGGTTGCTTCCATTTTTTGGCTATTGTAAATAGTGCTGCTATAAACATAGGGGTGCATATGTCTTTTTCAAACTGGGCTGCTGCATTCTTAGGGTAAATTCCTAGAAGTGGAATTCCTGGGTCAAATGGGATTTCTATTTTGAGCTCTTTGAGGGACTTCCATATTGTTTTCCACAATGGTTGAACTAATTTACATGCCCACCAGCAGTGTAGGAGGGTTCCCCTTATTCCACAACCTCGCCAACACTTGTTTGTCTTTTGGATGGTGGCAATCCTTACTGGTGTGAGGTGATATCTCATTGTGTTTTTAATTTGTATTTCTCTGATGACTAGCGATGTGGAACATCTTTTCATGTGTCAGTTGGCCATCTGAATCTCTTATTTGGAGAACCGTCTGTTCAGCTCCTCTGCCCATTTTTTAATTGGATTGTTTGCTTTTTGTTTGTTGAGGTGTGGGGGCTCTTGATATATTTTGGATGTCAACCCTTTATCGGATCTGTCATTTATGAATATATTCTCCCATACTGTAGGATGCCGTTTTGTTCTATTGATGGTGTCCTTTGCTGTACAGAAGCTTTTCAGCTTGATATAGTCCCACTTGTTCATTTTTGCTTTTGTTTCCCTTGCACGGGGAGATATGTTTATTAAGAAGTCATTCATGTTTACATCCAAGAAATTTTTGCCTATGTTTTTTTCTCAGAGTTTTATGGTTTCATTACTTACATTCAGGTCTTTGATACAATTCGAGTTTACTTTTGTGTATGGGGTTAGACAGTGATCCAGTTTTATTCTCTTATATGTAGCTGTCCAGATTTGCCAGCACCAACTGTTGAAGAGACTGTCATTTCCCCATTGTATATCCATGGCTCCTTGACCATATATGTATGGGTTAATGTCTAGAATCTCTATCCTGTTCGGCTGCTCTGTGGCTCTGTTCTTGTGCCAGTACCAAATTGTCTTGATTACTGTGGCTTTGTAGTAGAGCTTGCAGTTGGGGAGCGCAATCCCCCCACACTTTATTCTTCTTTCTCTGGGTTGCTTTGGCTATTTGTGGTCTTTGGTGTTTCCATATGAATTTTTGAACTATTTGTTCCAGTTCGTTGAAGAATGCTGTTGGTTATGTGATAGGGATTGCATCGAATCTGTATATTGCTTTGGGCAGGATGGCCATTTTGACGATATTAATTATTCCTAGCCAAGAGCATGGGATAAGTTTCCATTTGTCAGTGTCCTCTTTAATTTCTCCTAAGAATGT